CAAAAATTCTTACGAAATAATTACAATAAAAGTATGAGATTACTAATTTCTCTTAATTCCAGTCTTCCTGTAATAAGAAAAAAAAAAAAAAAAAAGTAAAATAAAAATACTTTAACTCAGTCCAATTTTTCCTGCTCTGCAATAAAGTTTCGGAAAAATCTTTCATCGAGGTAGATGAAAACTTGAAACCTCGAGAGTACGTGGCATTTTACGTGCACGAGACCTTTTAATTGGATCTCGCAAGTTGTCATAGTATACGATGACAGAAATTTGTAATACTTTCAGATGCGACTAAAGCTTACCGAAAGAAAGAAATAAACTCGCGTTGGTTTAACTTTTATTAGAATTTTCTTAGATAAAAAAAGAAAGAGAGAAAGAAATCTCAAGACACATTTCCATCTTCGATAGATTTGAAATATGTTTTTCTCGTCTGTCTTGGGACAGATGTGAAAGAGTACAAAATTTCAAACGTCATTTTTTCAATCTCTAAAGACATTATTTCAATATTTTCTTTTTGATATAATATAATATATAATATAATATAATAAATACATGTCGTACTAATTGAAATTTGTCGTTTGTAATTTTTCTATTGAAATTATTGTTACATTACTTATTTCGTGTGATAATCAATGAAGTCTCGGTCGTATCAAGACGAATAGCTGAAGAGATATTCCACCTGACTTGGTACGACACCATTAGATATATTAACCCATTACAGTTGGTTTTCATCCGAGGTTTCCGTAACACGAACACGACCTATTTTCGATTTAAACTTTTTCTTTCGAAAAAGGATGAACTATTGTTAAACTGCATACGCATATATGTTGTTTCAACAAAAAATCACGAAATTAATTAATAAAGTTAATCATTTTGAACGATAACAAAAGAGCTTTATATATATTACGTATAATATCATTTATCCGATACCTTATACGATATTAACACGTCGAATACCATACTAATTTTACATAGTTTATCCATGGTGTCAACACGAATTTCTTATTATACATATATTATATAATATTATTTCAAACGGGTTAAGTATTAACAGTTGTTTTAATAAAATTCATTATTCTTGCTAATGAAATGTAAAATTAGTTTAATAAAATATAATTTTTCCAGTGTACATTAGAACAATAATATTAATCAGATTATTTATAGAAAGAAAAGAAAATACAACGTTTCCAATAAAAAATTAATTAATTCTTTTACGTGTTTCTTTTCTTTTTGTTTTTTTTTAATAAGAAAACAAAGTGTATCTAATTAATTATACAAATTTATAACTTGAAACCCCGTAAACTATACACAACAGTTTGTTCATTGTTTGAGTATGATTGTCATACAATTTTTCTATTGTACATTAGAACAATAATATTAATCAGATTATTTAGAAAGAATAGAAAATACAACGTTTCCAATAAATAATTAATTAATTCTTTTACGTGTTTCATTTCTTTTTTAATTACAAAACAAAGTATCTAATTAGTTATACAAATTTATAACTTGAAACCGTAAACTATACACAAAGTTTTTTTACATTGTTTGAGTATGATTGTCACTATCACCTTTCCACTATCATATAAATCCATAACTATTGAGATAGACATTGAATATATATATTTTTCTCTTTTCTTATGGTGAAGATCATAGTGCCAAGAGAACAAATGTTTAAAGGAAAGAATCATTGAGTTTCTTCAACGTGCCTAGACGCGTGGTCTTTATGCAATGTCAAACGCTCTCTTGTGGACTAGTTAAGGACAATGAGTTCATCTGAATTGTCTCGAATGGGCTTGTTCACCGTTCGTTAAGGCTTACACATACCTGTGTATATATGTATATATATATGTGTGTGTATGTGTCTCACTTTAAGTCGATGACACATACCTACACGTTTTTGTCATTGTGTATAATTATTAATCATCAATCGTCTAGTCACATACTACTTTCTACAGATATTACTTCCTCTTTTTGCTATTTAATATTTGCCATTCGTTAGTGATAGAATATTTATGACAACGAATAAAAGTATTGAACACGGATTTCATTTTTATTTTTCTCTCTCTCTCTCTCTCTCTCTTTCTAATAATATATTTATCTTTTCTTTTATTACACTTTATTTTGTATTTTTTTCAATTTGTCATAGTTAACAATTGTTTTCGTCTTTTTATTTTTATAACTAATCAATTTTCATAACATATAATATATATTTTAAAATTTAGACTCGAAAGTGTTATATATTTTATATATACTAAAGAAATTAAATAAATAATTGTAGTTTTTACAAACAGATTTACGTAGAATGTTAGAAATATATTTAAATTGTGCCAACATTTTTGTTTATATATACAGATACTTGTTCGTTACTGTATGTGTCTAGTATCTATATTAATTTTTACTACGTTCAAAAAATATTAAATAGTTATTATAAAATATGACAAAGAAGTATATCGATCTAACGGAATATCTTAAAAAAACATTTTTATTGAAATTTATTCTCCTTCTCTTCGTTAATCTATCTTCCCATTGCTAAAATTAATTAAATTTATACGATAATTTAACGATATTTTTAATTTATTTTATTTTTAATAAAATCTTGAAATATATCATGTGTGTGTGTGTGAGTAAAATTCTGATAAAAAAAATATAATGTATCATCTTTCATTTTCTCTTTAACGTTCAACGTTTAACCACTTGCTCGATCGTATATATACATATATATATATGTGTGTGTGTATGTGTGATTAGAATCAAGTATAGCGAAGGTCGAAAGCACGATTATCTTATTAGGATATAATTATACGTTAATAGTTAATACAATCGTTGTTTTGTCATTTATCTCTCACATATTTGTATTTATATATCTAATACAAATATGTGTGTGTGTGTCACTCAAGTTTTTCTAAATATCAATCTAAAAAATGATTTATATCATAAAATAAAAATCTAATCCTTCCTATTTTATTTTTCGAACTTTTTAAGATCATTGAAACGCGTGTCACAGAAGTTAATCTTTCGTAATACCTGAGAACATGATATCTCACTTTAAATATATATCACAAAACCACATACTGCAGAGAGTAAATGTAGAACGATAAATGTTTAAACTTATTTGTCTGGTCAACCTTGACAGCAATCCGATTCTGATTTAATGTTCTTTAGTGTGTATCATCCAAATAAATATTTATTTATTATATGTAATTATACCGATAGGTTTCATCTCTACTTCATTAACCTCCTCCCTTTCTAATCTGTGAAGGAAAATACGAAAGAAATAATATTTAAAATAAGATGAAAATGAAATGAACATTCCCCTACTTATGATTTAATCGTAATTTATTATATCCAACGATTCAGTAATTAAACTTTTATCAAGGATATAATAAACTTTCACACGATAAATTAACAAAGGATTAACTTTCTGTGAAGTTTTCATTAGAATTTCTTGAAGAGTATAAAACGGACAAACTATTCTTATTTAATTGTTTTATCCAAAAAAAAAAAAAAAAGATATTAATATCTTAAACTGTGTTCATTTAAAATGTAAAATGAAATTTTCCCTATGAAATGAAATTCGTGAAAGATAAAATGTTAACTTTGTATTAGGAAGATAATAGTAAGTTTGTAAAAGTTGTGAATGCGAGGAAGCTTGCACAGCCTTTTTTTTAGTATGTATATATATATGTATGTGTGTAGGTATGTATAGGAGTACCAACACATTGATGCAATCACCTCCATTTTCCACCACCACCACCACCACCACCACCAGCACCACTACCACCATCTTCAACTCCTCTACCCATCACCACCCACTTCTACAGTAGCATGTTCCTGTGTGTCATGAGGAGCCACTCAGTTACACGCTACAGGGTTGAGAAGTCGGACGCTATCACATTTTTCATTTCGTCATAGTTCGAAATATTGATTAAGTGAATCGATCGATATAAGTTTTGTTTTTTTTTTAATCACAGAGATATATTGATAGTGATAAAGATATATTGTTATATAATTGCAAAGAGTACGGATTTAAATTTGGCGCCATTTATTTGACCGGTCGCGCGGTTAACACCGATTGGTTGATTTTTCTAATTGACTTTTCCCGCTTCGACGGGAGATTGACAATTTGTTTTTTTAAAGTGTTGTTGTGTTAAAAAAAACAAACTTTTATTAAAAATCTATATATATATATACACATACATATATACACGTAACATAACACAATTCACGTTTTGATTTTGAATTAACGAGATTTATTACGAAAAAGTTCAAAGTTTTCTTTTTGCAATTTTTTTTTTTATATATAATTACGTTTTTTTTATATATGTCAAAAGGAACACGAAGAAAAAAACATTATTTTCCAATTACGCGAATGATTTAATATATATTCGATAATGATTCTTTGCAAAAGACGATAACGATACTTCGTTACTTACTCGAAGTATTAAAACTTTCCCAATCACGTCATAGAAAACTTTTAAATTACATTTGCCCAAGTCGAATAAGTTCTATGTCAAGCACTTAATCGTCTCGTAATATCTCACATTACAACGTACGACTATCCATTTACGACAACTTGATTAATATCGATATCCGACGATCATGAAAGATGATCTCCCGTTAATCTTTGCCGAAAGTAAATTATATTATAACTAATTAATCTATATTTTTATCGTTTTTCTTTTCCCCGTATAAAAAAAAAAAAAGAAGAAAGTAAAAGTGACAAAACGTGATAGACAAATTTTTGTAATATGTCAATTGTTATTAATATATTTTTATGATAAATCAAATAAGAAAATCTAACAAAATGTTTTTAACCATTGGTATTATTAGATCTACCGTGTTTCATATTAAAATAATCGTTAAAACAATGACGAGAGAAAAAATGAGAAAAGTAACGTTTACAAAATCTATTCAAGATTACGAATTATTGGAGAAAGATTAAAAATAATAATAATAATAATGAAATAAAAAATAAAATAAATAATAATCGAGATATAGAATATATAGAATAAGAATTCCATAAGAGAGATTAGAAGAGGATGATGATTATCGAAAAGAAATTCCCCTAATTCGTGGAACTTCGTACGATATTAGACATCGCATGATACGAAACGTTATAAAAATACAAAAAAAAAAGTAAAGAAGGAAGTTTACTCGTGTACGAACGAAACATAACTTTTTTTTTTTTCCACTCGGTCAATAGAAAATGCGTGTCGATTGACGAGAGAAAAAAAAAAGAAAAAAATAAATAAAGAAAGAAAGAAAGAAAGAAAGAAAGAAAGAAAGATAGAGAAAAGGTTTTAATGGTATCACGCGAAGGCCATTAAAAAAAATAAAAAAGAAACGGGGGTGCGACGACGACGACGACGACGACGACGACAACGAAGAAGGACACGAACGTTGAAAAAAAGATATTTGTTGGGACAAAACATTGAACAAAACGGAGTAAACGTAAAAATAAAATTAAAAAAGAACAAAATAAAGCCCGCCTGTAGAAACAAAACAAACAAAAATATTATAGGCGAGGGAAAAACTCGACGGAGGGTAAAATAATTTGTCGGGGGGGGGGGGGGAAAAAAAAAAAAAAAAAAGAAGAAGAGATAAGATCGTGATGGAAGAATTTCCATCAAACGTTACCGAGTTATCCGATAATTACAATTACATTGTCAACAACACCTTTAATACCAGTTCGAATACTAATTACAATCAACTTAATTTACCTTACACCGTTTGTGAAATACTCGTTGCTATCTGTGCCGTATTTGGAAATGGTTTGGTCATCATAGTATTTGGAAAAGAAAAAAAATTACGAAGACGTACGAATTATTATATCATATCATTGGCGACAGCTGATCTTCTAGTTGGTCTATTCGCCATACCTTTTGCCATACTAGCCAGTATAGGTTCGTAATCTGTAGAAAACATTTTTATAAGGAATAATACTAGCACGATTTTATCCAATATTTCGTTATTAATACCATATGGTGTTAGTATATATGTACTATATATATATGTATACACAACAGGGTGTTCCACATAACTCTAGTCACGATTTTTCAAATACTTGTAATAACCTGACAAAAAAATATTTTCTACAAAAGTTCATCTGTTTTTGATTGACTATACATTGTAATAAAAAAAAAGTTCGATAATAATTTTTCATTTTAATGGATTTTAAAGCTATCTTTATTTTTTTAAATAGCACTTAGTATTTTTGATATTATTTGACTATATTTGATATTTTGACTAATTTAGTTATTAAATTAAAGAACACTCTTTTCTCTACGTGTAAAATACTTTGTCGAGTTATAAATCGATTTGCAAAGGTTCCTAAAATGTCAAAGAATGCAATGCTGTTAATTTTTTCTACTTTGCCATTTCTTTGAAAAGTTTCGATAAATATTTTTTGTAATAAAAGTGAATAGATTTTAATGAATCTTATATTAAATTAAAGTACACTCTTTAGTCTACGCGTAGAACACTTCTTTGAGTTATACATCGATTTGCAAGTGTTCCTAAAATGTCAAAGAATGCAATGCTGTAAATTGTACAACTTTGCCATTTCTTTGAAAAGTTTCGATAAATATTTTTTATACTAAAAGTGAATAGATTTTAATAAAACTTATATTAAATTAAAGTACACTCTTTTATCTACAAGTTGAATACTCATTTGAGTTATAAATCAATTTGCAAAGGTTCATAAAATGTCAAAGAATGAGATGTTGCAAATTTTTCCAACTTTGCCATTTCTTTGAAATGTTTCGGCAAATATTTTTTATACTCAGAGTGAATAGATTTTAATGAAACTTATATTAAATTAAAGTACACTCTTTTATCTACAAGTTGAATACTCATTTGAGTTATAAATCAATTTGCAAAGGTTCATAAAATGGCAAAGAAAAATTGGCGGATTAGGCATTGTGAGTATTGCCTAAAATCAGGCATTGTTTACATTACCGGCCTAGGTTCCAAACCTCCCCCGGCAATGCTAACAATGCCTGGCCTTAGGCAATGTGAACAATGCCTAATACGCTAAGTTCTCTTTGCCATTTTATGAACCTTTGCAGATTGATTTATACTGCGAAAAGGTACTCTACGTGTAGCCAAAAGTGTGCACTTTAATTTAATATAAAAATCATTAAGATCTGCTTGCTCTAAGTATAAAAAATATTTGCCGAAACATTTTAAAGAAATGGCAAAGTAGGAACAAATTTGCAGCATCGCATTCTTTGCCATTTTATTAACTTTTTCAGATTGATTTATAACTCGATATGGTATTCTACGTGTAGCCAAAAGTGTGCACTTTAATTTAATATAAAAATCATTAAGATCTGCTTGCTCTAAATATAAAAAATATTTGCCGAAACATTTTAAAGAAATGGCAAAGCAGGAACAAATTTGCAGCATCGCATTCTTTGCCATTTTATGAACTTTTTCAGATTGATTTATAACTCGATATKGTATTCTACGMGTAGACAAAWGAGTGTACTTTAATTTAATATAAGTTTCATTAAAATCTATTCACTTTTAGTATAAAAAATATTTRCSRAAASTTTTCAAAGAAATTGCAAAGATGCACAATTTACAGCATTGCATTCTCTGACATTTTCTAAACCTTTGCAAATCGATTTATAACTCAAAGAAATATTCTACGCGTAGAGAAAAGAGTGTACTTTAATTTAATAACAAAATTAATTAAAATATCAAATATAGTCAAATAATATCAAAAATATATCAACTAATATCGAAAATAGTCAAAAAAATACTAAGTGCTGTTTAAAAAAATAAAAGTGGCCTTAAAAAATATTAAAAAAAGAATTACTTTCAAACTTCTTTTTATTGCAATGTATAGTCAATCAAAAACATATCAACTATTGTTTAAAATATTTTTTTGTCAGGTTATCGCAAGTACTTGAAAAATCGTGACTAGAGTTATGTGGGACACCCTTTATATACACGTATACACGGGCAAGTTTACTTTAGTATTTCAAAAAGGATCGTGCGATCTGTGACGTAACGCAAGTTAATGTAATGGTTGGTCGAAAGGAAACGTTAATTCTAAGGTCGCATCGTAAACGAGCTGGACCATTAAAAACTTTGTTCGGGATTAATCGAAATCGTTTCTCGAATGAAATAGGACAGATATATTTTATATTTCTGACTGATGTATTATAAATATATTCACAAAATCAAATCGAGATTTGAAGAAATTAATATGTAATATGAATTTGTCGTAATACGAGCTGATTTGATGGTTGCAATTGTTATAACTCTTAAAATTTAACGATTCATTATTTTCATATTATTTTGATTTCTTTTTTTCACAGGTTTACCAACAAATTTACACGCATGTCTCTTCACTGTATCGGTATTGGTCGTACTTTGCACTATCAGCATCTTTTGCCTTGTGGCAGTATCCGTAGATCGTTATTGGGCTATTCTTCATCCCATGGGATATTCTCGTACAGTACGAACGAAAACTGCCATAGGTATGAATCAAAATCAGAATACATATATATATATAGCCGTTTTTATTTTCTTAGGAAGAAATTTCTTCTGGTATAGTTTTCTTTTTCTTTTTCTTTTTAATAAAAAACAAACACTATCTAATGTATAATATCATAGACAAATATTTGTGGGCTGCGAAACAAACGAGAAAAGAAAAAACAAATATATATATATATATATGTGTGTTTCCAAGTAGTACAAAAATGAGATGAGAAAGAAGATTTAAACGCGTTAAGTAGAAAAGATCGGCAATTAGTCAGACGTAGTATAGAATTGAATTTCTTTGAAATGGAAAACTAACGTTTTAAAAGAAAATTGATTAATTGGATCGACCCAATTGTACTAGTTTAGTTTAATCTAATTAAGCCAACTGTTTTGCTTCTTGGAAAGGAATTTTGCATGATTGGTGTATCTTCTTTCTCTCTCTCTCTCTCTCTCTTCTCTCGTACGAAGTTCATTCGATCGAAGAGGAGTAAGAAATGATATTGAAACGACACTAGCAATTATACAAGTTTCAAAAGTACCACCTTGTGCGTGTGTACTAGTATGGGTTAGTGAATGTTCCTCTAACTTATATACGCTACAGGGTAAATCAAATAATGTTTTCCAAAATTGTATAGTAGTTCCTCAGAAAAAAAAAGAATACTAATTATTATATTTCTCATAAAAAAAATCTAATCACGATAATCCATCATCATTTATCGGATATTTTAATTCAAACAAATACATTTGAGTTCAATAATCCACAATAATTTTACGTTATTAAACAACTGTAATGCTTTACAGTGACACACACACATACATAGACAGATATAATATCCAATAGCACCTGTTACTTATTTGAAATACATTTAAATAGTATTTTAACTTTAAATAACTTTAATTTTAAAATGAAATTTCAACGTGTCATCATATTACAGTGATGGTAGGATGAAATTATTTGAAAATTTCTTTTTTATTTAACATAAGTCCTTCGTGTATTTTTTTTTTTCTTATACCCTCTCTCTCTCTCTCCCTCTATCTGTCTCTCTCTCTTTTCCGATTAATTAATTAACGAAATAGAAGAGTACGATCAATCTTTTTTTTTGTCCCAGAGATTCCCATGCGAATGAACATTTTCAGTAGATAATAGATATTTTTAGAAGTTACATATTCTAATACTATTAACTGTAAATAGTATGACGTCAGTGACGTCTATTCTCAGGTGCAGAAAGCCTAATTGTTGCTTCGTCACACACGACGCTCCCCCTTAACACGAGCAGAATTCTAATGTTATTCAAACAAGATTAGACACGCATGATATCAACTTCCTTTGATTCGATTTCGACTTAAGAACATTGTTCCTCTAATCAATCTTGTAAATAGATTTTTCTGTAACGGTAAACAAAACAAAATTACGATTATTATAAAAGGATTTTATAAGTATTTATTAAATCAGATCACATCTTAAACAATTTTTTTTTTAATTATTCTATTTAAATTAAACGGGATATATTAATATTTGAAATAAAATCTAAACAATAGGTTTTACATGGATTTCATTAATTAACCGTGTCTACTTACCTTTTTGAATAAACGTGTATCTAAATTGTATCAGTAAAATGAAACTATTACGAAAATAATTCTCAAAACACGGATTATATTGAATATTGTTATAATATTGAATTAATTTGATATATTTATGTGTATACTGTGAAAAAAAAATATTGATCTTATGAAATATACTTCCTATCAATTTATAAAAATGTGCAAGTCAAATAAATAGAAATAATAATATAATATAAAATGTATACATTAAAACTAATCGATTAACGATATTAATTGATTAACGTTAAACTGGATAACTATTATGACACGTTTAAAGGCAAATTAATTAAGAGGATTGATATCATTTTATGCTAGAGAAACTTTTACGATCTACACTTTTCTTACTACTCGTTTTAAAAAATCGATTTGAAGTAAAGAACGGAAAAGAAAGAAAAAAAAGAAAAGAGAGAGAAAGAGAGAGAGAAAGAAAGAGTTAACTAAAAGTACGAACCACCCCCACCTTCATCCATTCGATTTCCCAATGGAAAGTGATTTTAACGTTGTTTTTTTGTTCTTTTTTCTTTTTGTTCAAATCGATGAGTTCCTGAGTTTGATTTATCTACGTTTCAAGAATTACTTTCACGATTGATCCTTTGATTAGTTTGAAAAAGTATTAATTTCATTTTTTTTTTCTTTCCTTTCCTTTCTTTTTTTTTTTCTTCTTCTTTTTTTACCCCTTCATATTTCTTCCCCCGTTCCCATCTCGTTTCTATTCGAATTATGCAGTTTATCGTAGGTAAACACAAAACGTGCTGAAAGAAAATCAATTAAATCATCTTTCACTCATATCTGTCTTTCTCTTTTCCCCACTCTATTTATTTTGTTTTTTTTCTTTTTCTTTTACTTTTTTTTTTCCTTTCCATCTTTCTCTAACTACGTAACAGCAATTAATTGAAGCGTTTCAGCCTGTATACGGTACGGCTGATTTTAATTACGAACTCGTTTGAACGATAACAACACTTTTTGTATGCGCGTGTGGGTGATATCCTGTATGTATGTATGTATGTATGTATGTATGTATGTATAAAACAGGAAAGAGAGAAAGAAGAAATGTTCGTTTTGCTTCTGACACGAATCGATGATGCTCTCTTCTCTTCTCGCGAATACGCGCGTGTAATATCGAAATCATATTTCTGTTATTCTAAAAAAAGAAAATAAAAATAAAAAACAAAACAAAATATAAAGCACAGAATCTTTTTCTTAAAAATAATACGAATAGTAATAAAAACAAATGTGAACAAAAATATTATAATGCACACATTGTTTTTCTTAAAAATAATACGAATAGTAATAAAAACAAATGTGAACAAAAATATTATAATGCACACATTGTTTTTCTTAAAAATAATACAAATAGTAATAAAAACAAATGTGAACAAATATATNATATATATATATATATATATATAAATAAATAAAATAATTATAAGTATCGAATTTTATATAAGAGATTTTACATGGGATTAAATAAAAATATTCGATATTTGTGTATACACAAATGATTCATTTTTGTAGGTATAATCTGCGTATGTTGGATCACCGGCACGTTGGTAGGATTTTTACCACTTTTAGGATGGAATGCTGGAAAGAAATCCGACGAGAAGTGTATTTTCACTCAGGTTATGGATTACGATTATCTGGTCTTCCTATATTTCGCCACCATCATATTTCCAGCTTTATTAATCGTCGCATTTTATGCCCTTATATATAGGGTAGTAATAAAACAGGTCAGTTTCTCACATACGAAACGATAAGGAATCATCGAATTCCCAAGCATCTTTTACACGAGACCACTCTTTTGAAACTAAAATGTGTTTTTTCTTTTTCCGAGCATTGCTTTCGCGATTTCAATAGATTAGAAAGATTATCTATTATGTTTAATGGGATATGTTAACTAAACGGATCGGTTTTTTCATACTAATATTAAACTTAAACGTTGATATTTATTGTTTTATCATTTCTTTTTTCTTTTTTTTTTTTTTTGGCTAACATCGGCGCTTAACCCTCAAATGCAAAAATAAAACAAAATTAATTGATGTATAAATGTGGGAATGATACTCTACATGCTTTCTAGCATAGATACCTAAATTCATGCATGCATACATACATGCATGCATGTATACATTTTTTGGATCATTCAAAAACAGTTTCTCTGTCTCTGTCTGTCTCTTTCTCTCTCTCTCTCTATCTCTTTCAATAGTTCTTTCATCATTTAACACGTATCGTAAATTTCTCAATTAAATGACATTATTTAAATTCAGGATAAAAGTCCCTTTTTGGATTCGGGGGTTAAGATGCAACGGCGAACTTCGAAAGATCCAACAAAGTCTCGGTCCCGTTTACTCGTTGGGAAAACACGATCGACAGGATGCTTTCAGTTGCAGCAAATAGTCACGATGAATCCAGGACGTCGTACAGGAGGTGGTAGCATTTCTGGTCTAGCTGGTTGTACTACTTCATCAGCTATAGCTGGTACTGGTGGTGGTGCTGGTTCTGGTGCTGGCAGTGGTGGTGGTACTGGAAATAATCATCATACAACCGGAACGATGCAACGTTTCAAACGGGATGTCAAGGCCACCCAAAATCTATCCCACATAGTAATATTCTTCATCATCTGTTGGTTTCCACTTTACACGATAAACTGCGTTATGGCATTTTGCCCGCAATGCCAAGTGGACGAGTTCTTCATGAACCTATGTATAATTTTGTCCCATTTGAATTCAGTCGGGAATCCTCTCCTTTATGCCTACCATCTTAAAGATTTTCGCGAGGCATTGAAGAATTATTGGCGATTATTATTTTCAAATGGGGAAGTTAAATCTGGCTTCGTTAACGTTATACACGAGAGAGGATCTATAGCTGGTTCCCAAAGACAATTTCAAAGACAATCTTTCGTTGGTACTTTACCAATTAGGAGACAAACGGCCAGTCTTTTAAGACAGGTAATCTGATCTAATTTTGATCGAATCCAAAACTTTTCCTCCCCCTACTTCAAAGATTTTTTCATAAATTAATAAATTTTCTGTTGTTGTTATTGTTGTTGTTGTTCAGGTTACGGATTTCCAAGCTAAAGAAATGTCTTCGTTGAGTCGAGCATCTTCCATTCGTGACAAAAACCAACACGACGAGGTACCATCGAATTCTTCATCACCGAATGAAACAAAACGACGTAGCATCGGCATCGAGTATCCTTTAAACGACGATAATCTTTCGTCTGCAAATGAAAAAAGTTATTCGGAACATTCTGAATCTGGTGGTACTCCGTCAATCGATGATTCCCTACCAATGGAATTACAAATTTATAAAAAAGATATCATGACCGTTCCAACATCGTCGGAAGTAGATTGTTCCGATCATTCGACGGAACACCCACCCACCTCGATTTTCATAATAGAAGCTGATGTTAATCGAACTGTGTCGAATCGAAATAAATGTGAAGAGGATTCCTACGAGAGGCAGGACGAGAGAGGATAATCCTTATTCAGAAAATAATTTATGGTTTCAACGATATATGTACGATAATGTATTGCATGCATACATAGGCAATTCGAATATTGACTTCGATCTGATTGGACGACGATTAATGTCGAGTAGGAAAGCGCGAAATTTGAATGTTCGATGTTGATACTACTTACGTATGCCAGAAAATTGTTCATCGTGTATAATATTTATTTAATACATATGTGTATATATATACACATCTACTAAAAATATATATATATATAATAATATATAAATAAATATTTATAGTTTCATGTGGAGGTATAATTAAAAATCGTTAAGACTGTTTGTACAAAGGGAATATCGACTGACCATATGGAGATTACGTTTTTTATTTCTTCTTCTTCTTTCCAATTTTAGATTTCACGCGCAACGAAGATCGATATTTACTCATACCGTTCATTAAACGATCTTCATCTTACGAAGAAATATGAGCCACGCGTGTGTATGTGTGTTTAAGTAGATAAAAAGCTATTATGAATATCGATAAATTACTTATGATAAGTTACTAAAAACATATCCATGACGAAACTGAAGATCTCATTGAAATGTCCCGAATTAATATACCGCAAAGGTGCATGTAAAAATGTAATGATTCCTATGTTTTACAATTTAAAAGGTATATATAGTAATTGTATAGATACTTGAATAACGTTGTGTTTAATTAAGATACATAAATGTATTTTAGCACGTAAAATATCGAACTAAATTTATAATATATTACACCACTGTGTTGTATTAATAAATGTAATTTAAATTAATTAGAAAGATTCAAGTGTATATTTTAAGTAATAGATTTAATTGATTATTTGAATTTAACCGCTTCGACACCGACCCATCTGGTGGAGAACGTACGAACTAAATTGGACGAATCAAAATAATAGAAGACATAACGACCCTAATAACATCCCGCGCTTTTTTTTTAGTTGACGCGCTGAGTATTAACCTGTTGCACGCGTTGCATCGATCACGTGTTATTTTTAACGTAACACAAACAACAAATGAAATCGTTTTCTTTTTTACACATTTGAATAATGCACTAATAAAATAAAAAACATTATGGATCCGAGCGAAGTAGTATTTCTTGCAGAAAGAAAACTTGTCACTATAGTGCCAAATTTTAGTTTCGGTGCAATACATTTGATCGCCGGTTCTATTGGACCTTTTCGTGCTGGTTTACCTTTAAAAGTGCCAATTTGGCTGGCAGTAAATTTAAAACAACAACAAAGATGTCGCATAGTCAATCCAGAATGGATGGAAACCGAAAGTTTAGAAGAAGTTGCAGAAACGGAAAAACTTTCCAAGTAAACTTTATTCTTTTGTTTTTTTTTCTTTTTTTTGTTTCTTTTTTGTTTATGCACAATGAATGTAACATTATTTTTTTAAACTTGTTTTTTTTTTTCTGTTCTAATTATCGTTAGATTATTCACACAAATGCCAAGCAGTCATTATATGGACGAAGCTCAACTTTTACTTAGCGTAGCAAGCGATGATATACACGGATCAGAAAAAATAAGGACAGCTATTAAAGTACGCGTAGAAATTAATTTAAAATAAGTTTATTTATCTCGTCTATTATATTATTATTATTAAATATATATTTTTGTAGGATATATGGGATTTAAGAATGTCTAAATTACGTACTTCTGTAGATTCATTTATAAAGAGTGATACCACACACGCAAGACTTGATCATCTTACCATGATGGAAATCAATAGTATACGTCCATTACTACCACATTCTTTAGATCAAATATTAAGAATTCAATCCGTAAGTAATTATTTTCAAATCAAAAATGATACGATATAATTTTAATGATAAGTTAAAATAATCTCATTTGTTATTCGATTTTTTATTTTAGAATGTCAGCAATGCAGGAAATACTACTACCTCTCAATAAAAATACTCTTATTTTTAATGTCAAGGATATAAGGGATAATTAATAATTGAATTTGTATATATTTAGATATATATTTTTTTTTTGTCCACATACGAATGTTACGTAATAGTTTTATTACTTAATTTACTTTATCTCAGTACATCATACAGTCACTAGCATCTCAATCACAAGTTATCATTATCACTATCATTATTAAATGCATATTTACAGTGGTAAACCTCTTCCAACCTTGTTACTTTATCATTTATCTTCTACGGTTTCTCACATTATTTACATTCTTTTAAACTTATAGTATACAGTCCCTTAATCATCTTTGATTTGATGTCTTAAAGATAAATACTTATATGTATGTAAATTGTAGATTTCAAGGCCACTTGTAATATATAATCGAAATGTAAACTTTTCAAATAAGAAAACTAATATTCATTAATTAGTCAACTTACTATTAATAAACAAGTATGAAATATATCAAATTCGTTAAATATTAGAAATAATTTCAAACGAAATCTTAACATATATGCATGTATATATATGTATATACATATATAAATGTTTTATATGTATATACATATATAAAACACGAAGTAACAGGAGCGTAATTCTTCTTAATATCGTATTGTATATAAAAATTGTAACTTACTAATATTTGGTGGCAAAATCGCGACGTATATTGTAATTCAAAATTCGTTGTATCTGGAGAAGAGCTGTGCTCATATAAATCGTACTAAATAATTTTCTGTCAATTATATGTAGATATAAATATGGAGTATAAAAATGGTGGTGTATGATTAATCAAAATAATAGGCAGCATAAGTAAAGCACTCTTCGTAATATCAATAAATTATTAATGCTATAAATATAGTTGACGTATAAAAAAAAAAGATTTCGAATCAAAAATGTATCTCAATTTGCAATTACTGATAATAATATTAATTGTAAGTACGTACGTGTGTGTGTGTGTGTGTTTTTGTGTTGATTTATAAAATATATTTATAAAAAAAAATCGCAACCATATTCTATAACATAATAATTCTAAGGCAAACCAATAAGTTGTTTAGCAGTCTCTGCCATAAGTACCATATTTTCTATCTGAAGTACCATTATCACAAAATATAAGGATTGAAACGAATCAACAAATATTATTCGTGAAATCTCTCTCGTACGAATATCGTTCCGATTTCTTAAAACATTTCATCATTTATCAACGAACGAATATAACGATATTTAAGATCTTTTTTTTTTTTTCTTGTAAACCACACATATGCGATATCCGAGCACATTATGTATTATAAAAAAGAAAACGATTTCATCGTAATTAAAAGATCTTTTCTTCGATCTTATACTTTCGAATTTTGTTTGATATCCTTAAACAGCAACAATTTTACTAGGATCTACTTTAACCCGAATGAACATTGTGTCGTCCTTTACGAAATGTCGTTTTTTAACCATTTCGTGCGAGACAAATCGTGGAAATCCAAAACCAAGAGAATCTGGCTCACGACTGGGCCTTTGAAAATTTTTCCAAGTTGGATCTGGTATAAAACTTTCAACGATGTTGCAAGCTTTCTCTGCTACGACCGTTTGATCGAACATAGTGAAAGACACGCTGTGAGAAAATGGCCATCGTAACAATGCATCGTATTCACCAGGTAGAATTTTGATGTATATAGAAATGTGGCTTCCTTCACCGGTTCCGTTTCCATTTAAGAAAACCGAAGCCTGTAATAAATAATAATAATAATTATTATTGAAAATAAAATCGATTCTTCTTAATTTATAAGTTATGTATACGTTAACGTTAATTTGTGAAATTCATGAAATGATTAGCTAAATCATTAAATATGAAAGAAAGTATTACATATTTCAACTAGATAATATAAATTTACAAAAGGCGAATAGTTAAGATAAAAAATTGAAATTTGACCCGTAGATTCGATACAATAGAACAGGACGTCTAACAGAACATTTGTTTTTAAAGTACAGGAAGAGATAAAAACGGATAGCTACGAAGGATTATTGTAAAAGGAAAAGCAGAGTTTAAAGACGGATCAAATTTCAATCTTATACTTTATCTATTCTGAATTCATATTTATATGTTTTCTTTCTTTCGAAAAACTTTTCCAAAAACGCCTAGTTATATTTCGGATAAAACGTTAGGGGGTTTTAAAATCCCCGATTTAACCGAATAATACAATTTAACGCTGACATATACATACAATATGTAATACAATAGATAATAAGATGATAATAAACAATAACCTGCAGCTTGTATCCGTATTGACTAGTGTAAAAGGGTGGACTGACAAGTTCCATTCCTTCCTTGGCCCTTGCTTCAGACATCTTTGCTGTATAATCCGTGATTTTCCATATAAGAGTGCCAGTATAATTTAACGAAAGTTTACTTATAGCAGATTTTAGACTCGTTATTTGATGCTGTTGCTTCGTTACCACACTGCACATTAAACTGAGATGCATTTTCGCTGACTCCTCTAAATGTTTATCCAAAGAAAATCTGTTGCCCTGTAAAACAAAAAACAAACCGAACATTATAATACAAGCATTACAATATTGATTAATTGTCATGTATCAAAGTGTTAAAAACATTAATGCTAATTATTAACGAAGGCATTGAAAATAGAAATAAAATGTACCTTAAACCGACAGCCGGCATCTTTAAACGTGCACGATAGTAAATGAGTCGTGCAATGATCTTTAAGATGAACTTCAAGATCTTCTCTTGGCAAAACTGCGGTCTCGCAACGATGAGGACACGCTACTGGGAAACGGCCACATTTCGCGTGGTGAGCACCGAGCGTGTCAAAAACGAATTCCTTGTTGCAATAACGACAAGCGACCAGTCGCTTGGCGCATTCACCCAACTTGTGTTGGCCTAAGTGTCTTCTTTGAACTTTCATTCCACATTTGTTCTCACAGTACAACGGTTCGTATCCGCAGGTACCTGTGTGTTTCTAAAAATGATATAACGAGAAAGTAATTAACACGGAACATCGTCATCAACAAATACAATCAAGTATTATTACAGTCAATTGTTTTCAGTAATATTATAACTACCTCAAGGGTGTGGCCGGTAAATTCTTTGGCACAAAAATCGCAACGAGCCCTCCGTTGGGCGCAAGTATATTTCAAATGGTCCTCCATTAATACGCGCGGTATCATAGCACCACATTTATTACTGCAAGGAACCGCATCGTGTTTGCAGGTATTCAAATGAGCCTGCACATTTTATTTGAGAGGAATATTATTATATTATATTATTATTTATATTTTTTTTAATTATTTTTCGTGTGGACTTTTTTTTTTTAAATATAAGTAAACAAATTCACAAAGAATACCTTTAATTTTCTTAATTCATCCGACCATTTGCAACCATCTTTGTGATGTATGCAGTAAACAATGGATCCCATTATTGCCTTCTCAGCTTCCAAGTCGTGGAAATTCTGTAACAATTAAAACATTAATTAAATAATTGATAACGTTATTATATTTAATATTTAATTATTTTTCAATAATATATAATTAACATAAGTGTGTATATATATAGTAACACATAATAATCGTCGTGAAGCGTGTCCAATAGAGTACATAACCGTCCTTCGCATAAGATCCGTTAGATTTGCGTAATCTATTTTGCGGTCCCGCTGCTCACTTTACCTTATTCGTCGCGTTTAATTGCATAAAACTTTCAAAAAAAGTATCGAGAGAAGAACATAGAAAGAGAGAGAGAAAGAGAGATACTAATAGAATGAAACGTTAAAATTAAAAAAAAATAAAAATAGAAGAACGTGTACGCAGAAAAAAAGCATAATATCCGAAAAAAAAAATGTTTAACTCGGATCTTCTTTATATAAAATAATATATTTAAGAGATATGCACAATATCTAACGATGAGAAATGAAATGAAATAAAATTATCATTGCTCAGTCTCTCAATATATAAA